TTCACCTTCCACCCCCCTTCACCCCTTCTCCCCCAACAGACTTACCAGCTGGGCCCGGCTTCTCTCCACGCTGCTGGGCTGCATTCCTGATTGCCTGCACGCGCGTAGCCGCAGCACAGCAAGGGGGCGTTTATCAGCCACATGAGTCAAAACAGCCAATTGTCAGTACTCTCAATTTTCCTCATATTGGTGCTGATCCAATATGGGATTGATGCATCGGTGCACCTCTACTTTAATAAGAAGGTACTCACTAAAGCCCTCTAATTCTACTCCACAAGTCAGATAGCAAATCCTCTTTGCACACTGTTGGCACTTGCCAGGTAAATCTGCTCTGCTGGGATTCCAGGGTGACCGCTGAACAGCCCCTGTGATGCTGAGGGACTGTGAATTAAGATGAATCTGGAGGGGATCTGGGACAGAAGTTCAATAAACCAATTTAACTAGATCAGTTAAGTCTGATGCTACATCCATCCAGGTTCATCTTAAACCAGTTTTGGCCATTTTGAAAGCGGTCTATGTGCACTGAACTTCTGCTGCGTTACTAATTTCAACCAATCTCCAGACAAGGTCCTTTGCATAAATCCAACATCTTTTAATCAGACCAACTCAGATGGTCTGAGGGCATTTGTGCCCAAAAGCTTGCTAAGAAGAATTTTTCTGACTATCTGTAGATGCTTCCTCAGCCTGATGGAGGGTGTTTGTGCCCAAAAGCTTGCCAAGAAGAATTTTTCCAACTATCTGAGTTGGTCTGATTAAAAGATGTTGGATTTATCCAAAGGACCTTGTCTGCCTATGTCCTTAGACCAACATGGCTACAACCTATACCCCTGAAACTGATTTCCAATCATTTATACCAGTTTGTGTGTAACTTCTTGTCACCTTATAACTAGGGACAGACCAGAACAAGAAACAGAACAGGATACTTCCCTATGAAACAAAGCAACCACGTACCACATGGGATGACTGTCATTTCCTATATGAGACAGAGGTGGCTGCTAACAGGCAAGCTGGCTCAGCAATTAGGCGCTTGTGTAGTTCCCATACGTCCTTCCTGTCAATCCTAGTGCTGCCAAAAAGGATACCTTTCCCTTCCCCATTCCCCAACCCAGACAACTGTCAAGAATGACAGGAAGCTATAACAAAAAAAAGAAAGAAAAAGCCACTGTCTGAATGAGATAACTGGGAAGGAACAAAGAGGGGAAAAAAAGCAAGGAAAATGCAATAATGCCATAGTAAAGTTTTTAGATTGAGATAGTACCGATTTCCCTCCTCTCGTTTTAAGGCAGAAAGCCTTATTTTTAGGGAGCAAGAAGTGGTAGCTGCATAACTGAAAAAAAATAGATAGTGCTACATTCACTTTGCGTTTGGAGTCATGCCAGGAATAAATCTGGACCATTGCATGATTCTGGTTTAGGTTTCCACAGGGAGATGATATTGGAGAAAATACACAGAGCAGCAAGGGTGCTCCCAGTTCAGCCTGAATCCAAACTGGGTTCAGGAACACCCCAGTTGATTCAACAGGTGTACTGAACATAAAGCCCCAGGAAGGCAGTCTTACAGTTAAAGTATCTGACAGACCAAGGTTTTACTCCCAGTTTGACCAATGACAAAAAGCATCCCTGGATGTCACTTTGCCCACTCATAAAACAGGGCCAATGACTGCATTGCCGGGGGCACAGTACATCTTCATAATCCCACGCTAGCAAATCCTCCAAGATTTTTTTGGTGGAGATGTTATTGATATGCACAATATTATAGAAAGACTGCCGCTTCTCAGCATGAGGGGAAGGATTAAAGACTAAGAAAGTAACAGAACAAATAGGAAATTCCCAGCAAATAAACAGAATCAGGCTTTGGGCGATAAGGCATCTCCTGTTTACATACCTAGCAAATCAGTTAGTGGTGCATTGTCTGATAATCATTGCTCCTTGGCCTGGGTGGGGACTTGGTCATGTAAATAGAGCGCCTTTATGAATGGTGACTTTTAAGTGAGAAAGCCCCAAGTCATTTGGGATTTTTTAAGTTTCTTTACCAGGTTTCCCCTTCCTTGAGCTCCCCTATGTAGTCATCATCACCACTGCTCTTTCTAGTTGCTAATAAGGAACACTGTTGCAGAACTCAGTGAAAATGGGAATCCATGGGGTATTTTTGGGGGTTTGTTTTTTTTTAAATCACCCTGCTAACTAATGTAAAACTGCATCTCTCAAATGGTGCCACTCTGCAGTCTCTGATCAGCACCCAGATGTGCTGTGACCTCAGCTTAAAAAGTAGACTGAAGGGTCAGACATAGCCATAAGGTGTTCATAAACATTTGGAAAACATTAACTCTAAAACCAGGGGCCACAGTCAAGAAAGTGTTAAGCAACTATCTCATTCTGGCAAAGGTGCAAGAATCGTGTGTCATCTGAACTGCCAACCTACAACAAGACTGCAACAGCTTCCACTGTATTTCAGTAATGATAACTAGCTACAAGAGTTTCCCCAGCAATCTCAGGGGGAGGGAAAACACATGAAAAATAAACAGCTAAACTGAACAAAAGACATTCTCCCCCCCCACCCCCAATTCCTGTTATTTCTCCCAGGAGCAGGGGTGGCTCATCATAAGTTAGGCAGTAACACTTATCCTGGTTATATATCTATAAAAGTCCGCACATGAGAAATGCAAGGATGTGACCAATTGCTGAATTAACAAAGCTGTGTATATTGACTATTCTCTCCCCTAATTGCTGGAGCCCTCTGGGATGCCCTTTCTGGACAGACACAGGGAAGACAGCTTGTTTCCAAATAGTAGGAAAGAATATTTCCCAACTTGCACTGACTACAGAATATGACTTAAAAACCCAACAAACCCAAACCCCTCTTGAACCTGCAGATGAGGCAAAGACTTTTTCTGAGCGGTGGGGTGTGGTCCCTGCAAAATTCTCCAGGCAGGGAGGGAGGGATACATGGGAGGAGTGTGGGAAGTAGCTCGAGTGGCCAATTCTTTTGAGACACCATCATCCGCCTTCTTTAACCACCAAGCAAGTTTTAACCCCCCCCCCCCCCGCCCTCAAGGCTGAAAACTGTTCTCCACATAAGAAGACGCAGAAGGTAGGAAAGGGTGACATCCGAGAGCCTCCAAGAACGACACCTCCAAAGCAGCAAGCTATAGTAACCTCAACCACAGCAACAGATTGTCACTTCCCATGTAGAGGCTGCATTCTCTCACTCCACCCATCTTTCAAAACACAGAACAATCCTACCACTGGTTAAACATATTTTTAGGAGCTCCATTTCTCATCACTTCGAGCCATTTACATGCATTGTCCAGAACCAAATTTGCTGCCTGTATTAAAAAAGTTTGTCAAAAATCAAGTGGCCTTGAATATAAAAGCCTGTATACGTAGAACACAGTTGGCATTTTCTCTTTAAAGGACACAGCTCTCATTTTCTCTTGACATGACAGAAAGACCAGGAAAGATCAACTTTCAACTCCAAAGCCCTGGCCTCCATTACATTTTCATATATTTTGGCAATTAATGAGTCTCAACTTTCAATCAGTTAGAGCCCAAGGGGAGGCACAAACAAAACCAAAACACATACCACAGCGCTCAAAAAAATAAAACCTTTCCAAGTGTCTTAAATCTCGATTATTATATGGCTGCAGACCTGCATATTGAACACAGGGGCATGCCCCATCAACCTAGCAGACAAACAAGTAGGCTGGCTCCCAAGCATTGTTTTTTCCCAATGCAGCTCACAGGTGGTTTATTAAGTTTGAAGACCATCTGCACACACAGCAAACCAAACACATTTGCCATTTCAAAAGAAAGAGGGGGGTGGTACAAATTGATTCAATTATTGTAATCAATTATTGTAGCAGTGGTTTTGGGGAGGGGGATGGGAAGAGATAGTTTCCAGCTTTGGTTTTCTGAGCAAGCTAGGCTCTGTTATCAATGCAACACCCATTTTTGGGGTGAGCCAATCCTCCCTCCCCCCTCCATCTTCTCCACCTAAAGGTTGCTGCTGTTCCCTCCCCAGATCTCATCCCCCAGAGCTACTAGGGGAAAAGGAGAAAGCTCTGTGCCTCTCTCCTGCAGAGGATGGGAAAGTCAGCTCCTTTCTGAGCCTGCTGCATTATTTTGGTGGCAATCTGACACCAGCCAGGAGCAGGAGAGAGCAAGCTGAAAGATAACAGTCACCTTCCTTTCCTTCTCCCCCCCCCTTTCGTTTTCCCCAGCCATTAAATCACATGCAAAGCTGCACCCCAAGCAAATGCACTCACCCAGAAGATAAAATTGAAGACAAACAGCAGATATTTGATGCACTTGGTACAGCCTTCCACTCCCATGGCTGAAAATTTCTGCAAGCAAAGCTGCCTGGACGTTGTGGCCTGATAAATCAGAGCGTGAGATGGAGCTGCTGCTCTTGCAGAGGCTGATCACAGCTTCTCTTCTTCGAGCTTCTGGAGCACAACATAGGCAGAAAACTGGGCTGCTTCTCTGACTCCTCCTGCTTGTGAGACACCCCCACCCTGCGATCCGCCCACCCGAGCACAGGCCATCTTAAAAGGGAAGCTACCGCCTCCTGGGGGTATCTGCCCCTCATTTCTCTGCAGCCTGTGCATCTGTCCTCATCCATAAAACAGCAGCAGTGACAACGACAGTGAATGAACTGAGACTGTAAACCGCAAAATTGAGGCTAGGAGTAAGAGACTGCAACTGGATTAGGGGAAGGACTGTGTGTGGGTGTGTTTATTGTAACAGGTGCGCAGGCTTTAAATATGGTTTACGGTGTGTGAAGAAAAGCTTATCCTAGATGCTGTATCTATCAATATGTTTAAAAAAAAAAAAAAGTCTTTTCTGATCCATACCCCACAAACACAGAAAGGGAGAGGAGCTACCATCCAGACAGCACTTGCCTTTTTCTGGTCACCCAGCAAATATGAGCCAAGAAGGCTTATGGAAAAGTAGTGTCCGCCAAAAGACCCCTCAGACTATAAGCAGCTACAGAAAAAAGCAAAATATTGAGGCTCTGGTGGATATAGATTGTAGCCATATTGGTGTACAAAAACAAGCAGTCAGTGTGCTAGAGGCAATATCTTTTATTAGACCAACTAGATTTTCTTTTTTTTTTGCAACTTAGTTGGTCTAATAAAAGATACCGCCTTTAGCGCACTAACTGCTTGATGTTCTGATGGTTCTCAACCAGGGTGCCATGGCATCTTGGCTGCTGCTAGATCAGGGTGGGCAATTATTTCAGCTGGCAGGCCACCTAACGAGTTCTGGTAAACCATACAGGGCCACACGCACAAAATATTTCGGGTGATCACGTTTCAACAAGTTATAGGTAAAAAAAATAATTTTAAATCAGATACTAAAAATCACACATCTATCATAACACATTTTAATTTTATTTAAAAAAATGTGTTTTATCCTGATTTATGTATTTTTGAGTAGTGTATATAGAAACAATTGCATAATAGTTCAAAATAAAGTCTTACTTTTGTATATTGTATGGTGGGGGGTGCTCACGTGGGTGGGGGGGAGAGGCTGCCTGCACATTAAGTCCCAGGAGCCAGCCAGAAGTGGGGGGATGAAGGGAGTGGGGAGCAGGGGGTACATTCAATAGAGCTTACCTGGGTTGTGTGGTGCAGGGGTGATCACCCCTCCCATCCAGCCCATGGATGCCCCAGCTGTGCTCCTTATGAAGCCAAGCCCTGCTCGCTCCAGCCCAGGGCAGCCTATGCTGCACTCCTTCCTGTACCTGTTGACAGCCCCAGTCCTGGCCAGCACGCATAGCTTCCCAGCAGGGCTGCTCCTGATGTGCCTGCAGCTACCCAGGTACTGCTCAGTGCCCCCCGTAGCCCCAGTGGCTTCTCCTCCTGCCCTTGTGGCACTGCTCCAGGCAGCAAGTAATGCAGAGAAGCGGCTATGGTAAGTGTGGGGACACATGTTGGGAACCACATACCCAGCCAGACAGTGGCAAAGCTGCAGCCAGGCATCTCTTGCCCCAGCGCACAGGGCTCCAGCTCCAGCTCCTAGCTGCCTTCCACCCACTCCCCTCACCTGGCAGGATAAGCAGCCACCTATAGGTGGCCAAGTGGGTGGAAGGCGGCCAGGAGTTGGAGCCCCATATGCTGGGGCAGGAGCTGCCCGACTGCAGCTTCTCCCCACCTGGCTGGGCATGTGGTGCCCAGCACGTGTCTCCACCCAGCACAGCCACCCTCCTTCCCCATGCTACCTGCTGCCCAGAGCGCTGCAGGAGGAGGAGAAGAAGCCATTGGAGGCATAGGGATCTGAGCAGTACCCACGCAGCTGCAGCCACTCAGGGAGCAGCCCTGCTAGGAAGCTGTGTGCACTGACGGGCCAGGGCCATGGATGGGCACGGGCAGAAATGCAATGCAGGCTGCCCCAAGTGGGAGTAGACAGGGCTTGGCACCATGCAGAACGCTGCGGAGGCAGCTGTGAGCCAAATGCAATGAACTGGTGGGTGCCCACCTTTTGGCTGGATCCGATCAGCTGATGAGATGGATCTGGCCCACGGGCCACATTTTGCCTACCTCTGTGCTAGATCATTTTAAGGATGCTGCAATATGCAAACACCCATGTACGATTCATAGATAATCCCAGAGATTTCAGAGAGGAAACCATTGTGTCAAAAACATTCTGACCTGTTGTGTTTTTTCTGGGTTCTTTGCAACAAAATTGCTCTAGTTATTTTCCCATAGTCAAAAAACAACTGAAAGTTAAGAGAGTGCATTTTTGAGGGATGCCTCGAGTCTAACCAGAGGTGCCTTGGATCTTAAAAAGGTTGAGAACCCCTGTTTCACTGGATCAAGTATCTGTCTCCACTGAATTCAACAACAGAGGACATATTTGCCATTGAATTCTGTAATGTTTAGGGCTGCACTCAATTTTGCATAACCAGGTTGGATTCAGATTCTATCCAGCAGTTGCAGATCTGGAAAAGCATTTGTAAATTATTTTTTTGCCCCTCATCTAAGTCATACACCTTGTAGGAAGCCCTGATCTTGCCAACACTTCTGCCTGTGCATAACTTTCTTACCATGAGCAGCAGCACTGAAACAGTGGCCTTGTTTATGGTGGCAAACTAAAGTATACAAGTGTTTACGGGTTCTGAATTTTAAGATGTCCACCAAAGAAATGCATGTCAGGTGTGCATGAATTTCAGAGATGTATTTGGTAGCTGTGTTGGTCTGAGACAAAAAGAAATGCAAAATTCTAGAACTCTTGGTTCAGAGATGATACCTTTTATTAGACAAACTAAGAAATCACAAAAAATTATCTTTCTTTGCCAGCTTTGTGCCCTTCCTCAGGCTGAGGGAAAATTAAAGAAGGTAAAAAGTCCCCTTAGGTAAAAAAAAAACTTCATTTTGCACAGAAGAAGCTAAAAGTGGATGCATGTTCCTCTGGGTCCATGAGAGTTCCTTTGTGTGAGTTGCTTTCTGATGTGCAGATAGGCAGTTTGATGTTTTAGCACATGAGGAAAGGAGAAAACCATGGGTGACTGGTGCCTCCTGAGTCTGGGGGAGCACCAGTGATCAGGGGGTGGGATCCCCCAGCAGCTGATCGCTGACTGGGGAAAGAGGGGGTCCCCCAGTGGCTGATCCTGGAAGCACCCACAGCAAAACCTAAAAAGTGCCACCGGTGCTTCTCTCAGCACCCCCACTCCCTGGCCGGCAGCAAACTCAGGGGGGGCACCAGCTGGTGCTTCTCTTGGCACCCACACTCCCTGGCTGGCAAGGGCCAATCTCAGGGGGGCATGTGCCCCCCACCCTGTGCCTCCCCTACACATTGCCTATGAAGAAAAGCAACACTCAAGCAAAATAAATACTGTAAAATTTCACAAATGTTTGCCTGAAACCAAGTTTTAATCCTTTTTTTCTTGCCATGTAAAATGTATTATTTGCTCATTGTGATGAGGTGCCTTTCTTGGGATAGCTGTGAAGACCCTGGAGTCCCTTTAGCCCTCACTTTCTGTGGGCAATCATCACCCCCTCAGTCGCCCACCACACCTTGATGTCTTTTACTTTTATATGAGGGAGGCTGCACCAGGGCATCCTAAATTGTTCTCTCAAATGACCACCAAATTCCTGTGGTCTTTGCTTTATGGGCTAATTGCATGGTTCCATTCTGCCCCTACACCATACCCCATGCCTCACTCACGGATGTTATCTTCCACTTAGCCCCTCCTCTGGGCTCCTGGACCTTCACTGGTCCCACACTTAGTCCCTTAGCAGACTCCTGGACCCCCACTGGTCCCACATTTGTAGCCTCTTAATCTGGGTTCCAGACCCCTCTCTGGGTCCCCAAGAACCTCCTCCTCCCCTTAGCTCCTCCCCAGACTGCACTCTCCTTGCTGACATTCCAGAGCTGCAGTCATCCTGCTCAGTAGATGCTTCCTCAGCAGTCTCCAAGATGTTACTGCTGGGTCTACTCAGGTCTGGGCTTATATCCTACGATATATCCCTAAGGGGTCCATGATCAATCAAAAGCATGTGACTACCCACACTCACAACTCAAAGGGGTCTGCACCTCCATTTGAAGGTTTGTGCAAATTAGGGTTGTGCATTTTAGGGTTGCGCAAATGATAAAAGGTTACAAATCACTAATTTAGCTCCATCATCTTTATAACCGTCCGTCAGGTAGTTGAAGGATGCTATCAAATCCCCTCATAGTCTTCTCTTCTCTTCTCCAGACTAAATAAATCCAGTTCCCTCAGCCTCTACTCATACATCATGTGTTCCAGTCCCCTTACCATTTTCATTGCCTTCTGCAGGACTCTCCAATTTGTCCATATCCTTTCTGTAGTGGGGGCCCAAAACTGAACACAGTACTCCAGATGTGACCTCATCAGTACTGAATAGAGGGGAATAATCATTTCCCTTGACATGCTGGCAACACTCTTACTAATGCAGCCCAGTATGCCCTTAGCCTTCTTCACAACAAAGGCTCACTGTTGGCTCACATTCAGCTTATTGTCTACCATAACCCCCACATCCTTTTCTGCAGAGCTGCTGCTTAGCCAGTTGGGCCCCCAGCCTGTACCATGTTCTGTCCTAAGTGCAGGACTTTGCACTTATGAGAGAATCCATGCTCCAAAGAGCTTAATTAGGTGATATAGATAAGGGAATATCCTCTCTGCTTTAGAGATAGGGAATAGGAGCACAGAGATCTTATCTAAGGTCACACAGGCTGTGGAAAAGTTGAGCAATGAACTCACACACCCATGTCCTGCAACAGTCCTGAACTCCAATGCCATCCCAATGTCCTGAACCCCAGTGCCATCCTTCCTCTGGTCTGCTGATATAGCCTATATTGAACTGACAGATTGTCACAGGAACATTTCATTCCAGAACAGAAATGGAAAGTCTTCCACAGACTTCACTAGAGTCTGAATTGATTCACTGTGAATACATCCAGAATTCGCTGACCCTTATCCTGGAATTATATCCACTTACAACCAGATTAAATCA